GAACCTGCATTTCCCTCTGCCTGTGTCTCTGCCTCTCTCTGTCTCTGTCTCTGTCTCTCTGTCTCTCATGAATAAATAAATAAAATCTTTTAAAAAGGGGGGGGTAGGGGGTTCTGTTAGTGAACCCTGCAGTCATTTAGTTCTAAGTGCTCATTCTTGTTACCCTAGTTTCGCAGAGCCAGGGAATGCTATTGAAGTTTCTAGGACCTTCTAGAAGTGAGTATAACTAACTTTGAGGAAGGAATGGAAGAGGTTTGGAGAGCTAAAGACTTGCACTGCAGCCTTCTAACATATGCCCCATTGCTCTTTCCACACTCCCTCACCCCATTATAATTTGTTTCAGGCTATGAAAATAACATATAGTCATTGCAGGAAAAAAAACTAAAAATCACTCTTTTTTCTTTTTTTTTTTTTAACTCAGAGATAATGATTATTAACATTTGGCATACATATGTGTGTATGCTCATACACATAATTTTGTGATCATATAGGTGTGTGAGTATGTGTTTCCATGTCTGTACACACACACAAACACGCTTTTATACCACCTTTTATTTTTATCTTTTTATTTTTTTAAAGATTTTTATTTATTTATGAGAGAGACAGAGAGAGAGAGGCAGAGACACAACAGAGGGAGAAGCAGGCTCCATGCAGGGAGCCTGACATGGGACTTGATCCCGGGTCTCCAGGATCACCCCCTGGGTCGAAGGCAGTGCTAAACTGCTGAGCCACCTCGGCTGCCCCATTTTAAAGTATTTTAAATATTAAAGTAAAGTATTTTAAATATCTGTGTCATCAAACCTATTTTTGAAAACAATCTTTTTTTATGGTTGCATAATAGTATATGTGCTATAATTTATTAGGAGTCAGATATTGCTTAATGCTCATTTTTAAGTTTTTAATCTTTAAAACAAAAGATTTTATTGAGAGAGAGAGAGCATGTGCACGCGTAGTAGTGGAGAAGGTCAGAGAGAGGGAGAGAGAGAATCTCAAGCAGATTCCTTGCCACCTGAGCAGACTCCTGAGCCACCCAGGTGCTCCTCTTTGCCTATTTTTTTATATCAAGCTGTTAATTGAGTTATTTGCATCTCAGGGTAGGTTAAGTTGTTTTTTGTTCTACAGTGCAGATGTTTTTTCTGGTGTGTCATTTGCCTTTGGTTTATAGTATTTCACCTAAAGAAGGTGTGCATGTTTGTTTTTGTGTATAGTTTCAAAACTGCAGGAAAGTACAGTAGGAAATAACCTTTATTTACCTGCCACCCAGAATGCACAGATATTTATATGTTGTCCTTTTGACTTATTTCTGATAAAGGAAGTAGAATATTACAGACAGATTGGAATTGTCCTGGTTCCCCCTCCCATATTCCATTTCCCCCTTCCCCAGGGCAGCTGCTATCATGAATTGAGTGTATGGATCCTTCCAGTCCCAGTTTTTCTTCTGTTATCACATATACAAGATTAATAAGTATTAGTTTGTGTGTGCATGTGTTTGTTCATGCTTTAACATATACATACTATCACATAATTTACATATATCATTGAGCAGTTTTCTTTATTTGCACAACAATGTGTTCAGTTCAATTCATAATTATATATACAAATCTAGTTCATTTATTTTGACCACTGTGTAATATCGCATCCATGGACTATAACTCCAAATTCTTCCTAAATGTGTGTTTCTTTTTTTTTTTTTTTTAGATTTTATTTATCCATTCCTGATAGACAGAGAGAGAGAGGCAGAGACACAGGCAGAGGGAGAAGCAGGCTCCATGTAGGGAGCCCGATGTGGGACTCGATCCAGGGTCTCCAGGATCGCGCCCCGGGCCAAAGGCAGGCACTAAACCGCTGAGCCACCCAGGGATCCCCCTAAATGTGTTTATCATTTTTTCTATACTGATGAACATTGAAGATGCTGCTGGGTGTCTAGGTTTTCTTTGTAGTGCTGCAGTGAAAAACTGCACACGTTTCTCCTGCAAGCTGGGAGATCTTCTCAAAGGGCCTGCCTAGGGGTATGTGGTGGGTCATGTGGATTTCAGCTCTATGGGCTCTTACCAGATTCTTCCTAGAGTGCTCATTCCAACCAACACTCCCACCAGCCGTTTGAAAGGCTTCCTCCTGCCCACACCTTCACCAAGACATGGTACTGTCAGGCTTAGTGATTTTTAGCCCATCCCGGAATGAGATAGCATCTCATTGTGGTTTTAATTTGCATATCCTGATTGCTAGTGGGATTGAACATCTTTAAAAATAGTTACTGTCTAGAGTTTAACAGATTTTTCTCTTCTCTGCACTTTCACTTCTTACCCTCCACTCACTTTTTCCATTGGGTTATCTTTGTCAGATGGGTGGTTAGTGTTCTTTATGTTTTAGAAACTAGTGTCTTATTACGTGTATTGTGGCCATCTCCTGGTCCCTGGCCTACCTTGCCTTTTGCTTCTTCAACTTAGCGTATATTGCCTTCAGTTAGACCACTGGCAAGCCCTCCTCATATAAGGCCAAGTTGGAGGCGCATTATATTCTTTTTTTTTTTTTTTTTTTTATTCATGAGAGACACACAACACAGAGCAGCAGAGACACCGGCAGAGGAAGAAGCAGGCTCCATGCAGGAAGCCTGATGTGGGACTCGATCCTGGGTCTCCAGGATCAGGCCCTGGGCCGAAGGCGATGCTAAACTGCTGAGCCCCCCAGGCTGCCCCACATTATAGTCTCAAGGAGCACAACATCTATTCAGAATATTAAAAAGTTCTATAGGAACCGATCAGAGGGTTGGGGAGACATAGAGACAGCAGTGGGTCTGGCAGCAACAAGCAGGACACCAAGAAGGGGCTGAGCAGGCCAGGAGGAGGACGAAGCCTTCTTGGTGAGGGAGTTGCCGAGGCAGAAATGCTGATGGTCAGTCTCAGAGTCTTCATCCTTCCTTGCTTCTGCCTCTTTCTCTCCTCATGGCCTCCAGCCTGCCGGCCCCTGACCCACTCCTGCCTCCTTGCTCAGAACAGTTTGGCTTTTCAACAGTTTGATCTTTGGAACTTTGTGTATGTTGTTTCATGTGGAACAGAAGCCTGATTTTTGCTGTCCTATGTATCAACCAGCCTTTACCTCTATAAGGCATGCCTTTTGTGTCTTACTGAGGAAATCCTTTTCCACACCAAAGTCAAAGACAGTTACTCGCGTTTTCTTATGATAACTTTTGTTTTTCACACAGTCTTTAATCCGTCTGGAGCTTTTTTTGCTTTTGTAGTTAAACTTTCCTTTCCTTTTTTGTGGCTCTTCCTTTGCATCGATACTTTCTAGGCCCTCTCTGAGCTCCAACAGGTGTAGATCACCAGGCTTTTCTCTGCCGCCTTGTGCTCTTTGCTGGCTCTGGGAGTCCCAGGTCGGGATACTTGGTGTTTATCAAGGAAGTTTCTCTGCCTTGAGCACCTTTAGTGTTTGGTTTCATGTTCTGGACCCTGGCACCAAGGGGCGTGATTCCACTGGAGTTTAAAATTCGTTCCGTTTTTGAAAATTTCATGGTCTGTTGTGTATGTGTTGTGCCTAGGGCTCGAAATGTTCTCAGATCTGGAAATGCTACAGAGTCACAGACCAGGGTCTCTTATAAAGATGCTCCTGCTTACCTTGAACTTGTGACCCTTTGTATTTTATCATAAGGGATCAAGGGAATTGATAAAGTAAGCTACTCTTTTTTTTTTTAAGATTTTATTTATTTATTCAGGAGAGACACACAGAGAAAGACAGAGACACAGAAGGAGAGGCAGGCCCCCTGCAGGGAGCCCAATGTGGGACTCGATCCTAGGACCCCGGGATCATGAACTGAGCCAAAGGCAGGTGTTCACTGAGCCACAGGCACCCCAAAATATGCTATTCTTGTCAGCATCCTAGCTTTATGGAAACTAAAGTTACACCTGAAAAGCTGGGGTGTTTTGAAATTTTCCCACCCCTCCTCACTCCATTTATTTATTTATTTTTAAAATATTTTACTTATTTATTCATGAGGGACAGAGAGAGAGGCAAAGACACAGGCAGAGGGAGAAGCAGGCTCCGTGTAAGGAGCCTGATGTGGTGGGCTCCCAGTGCATGGAGCCTGCTTCTCCCTCTGCCTGTGTCTCTGCCTCTCTCTCTCTCTCTCTCTCTGTGTGACTATCATAAATAAATAAAAATTAAAAAAAAAAAAAGGAGCCTGATGTGGGACTTGATCCAGGGACTCCAGGATCATGCCCTGGACCAAAGGCAGACGCTCAACCGCTGAACCACCCAGGTGCCCCAACCTCCTCACCCCATTAATTAATTAATTAATTGATTAATTAATTAATTAATTAAAAAGATTTTTATTTATTTATTCATGAGAGATACAGAGAGAGGGAGAGAGAGAGAAGGCAGAGACACAGGCAGAGGGAGAAGCAGGCTCCACGCAGAGAGCCCGACATGGGATCCAGGGTCTTCAGGATCACACCCTGAGCTGAAGGCAGGCGCTAAACCGCTGAGCCACGTGAGCTGCCCTTCCTCACCCCATTTAGATCAGGACAAGACAAGAAAAATCATTATCCATCCAACAATGTGTATTTTCTATATAGTCGAGTCGAGACATGAAAATAAAGTTGACCAATTTATAGGACTTTCCTGATCAGTTTTCACCAGTGGCCTCTGGAGAACATGTCAAAGATGATGTCCCAAACACCTGTGGGAAACAGCTTACAACAGGCCGTCGCCCTGTACCCGCACTGAGCGCGCCTCTGCCATCCTGTCCCCAGATGTCTCGCTGGCTTCTTGCTCAGCGGAGGGCAAGTGGCAGAGGTGGGCGTAGGATGATTCTCAAGGCCGTGCTGGTGTCCCTGGCCACACAGCACCTGCCAGGGGCCGGGCCTGGCCATCCCAGGGCCACAGCGGCTTTCAGTAATCACACGCTCTTAGTGACAGTCGGCAATTTTGTGCATGTTTGTTTCTTTTCTTTTTCACTGCATACAACATTTTCTTTTCACCCTGCCTTTGTCTTTTTTCCTTAGGCCGGAAGCTGAGAGGAAAAGCCTTTTATTTTGTCAATGGCAAAGTGTTTTGTGAGGAAGACTTCCTGGTGAGTGTGTTCCCCAAACCTGCCCTGCCCGCAGTCCCGACCAGAGTCAGGGGGAGCCTGTGGGGAGACCTGGCCAGCCAGGAGAGTGTGGTTCCCCTCGGTGATCCCCGGCATGGGTCCTGGCTTTCCTTCTGTGGATGCAGGGGGTGGCCTGGGATCCCGAAGCAAATGACAAGCTGCAGAGCTTTGTGCCTGGAAGGGACTCGAGGGTCACCTGGCCTGTCGTCTTGGTTCTGCCCATTTCTGCCGACCCCACCTTTCTTAAGCCTCCGGACTGGGGCTCAGGCCTTCGTTCCTCGGAATCCTGGCTGCTCTCTGTGGGCATCCAGCCTCCGCCACACTTCAGAAGTCTGTCCGCGGGCCAGTGACGCCCAGCCCTGAGCACCAGCCCTGTCGGCACCTCTCAGGCCAGCGGATGGTCCCCCGGGCTGTCCCCCAGCCCTTCACGTCTGCTTGTCTGAAGCAGAAGCATCATGCTGCCTTGGGTCCTCATCTCGGAGAACGGTTTTCTGGGCTTATCCTTGGCCCCTCCTCCTTCCCACTTCTCCCAGAAAGTGGCTGAGCATTGATCCCCGTGCCACCACGGCCTCCCTGGGCCCGCTTAGCTCCCCGGGATGGCTTGTAGCTCAGCGCCCCCACCCTGGGCCCTGCATCGCAAGGGTTCAAGGCCTGTGCAGAAGCTGTGCTCCTGAGCCCAGACCTGTGGCTCTCCCACTCTGCTGCTCGCTTGCACCCCTGCACAGCCTCAAGCCTTTGTGCCCTAGCTTGTGCCACTTCCCCTGCCTGGAGCGTCTTCACCCTTTTTTTGCCCCGATAGCTGACAGCTGTGCCCCCTCCCCAACAGCGAGCTCCCACCCTCCGTGCAGCCACCACACCAGGGCCTCTCTGGCGCAGCAGGTAGAACAAGGCAGGGTGGCCTCCCCCAGCCCTTTCTCTCTCCCCTGGACATGCTTCTTCCCCTGGACCTCGTCAGCCCCTCACCTAGCACCAAGCATCCAGTGGCGCTCAGTAGACAGTGGATGACCTGAGCCTACGTTCCCCAGAAGACCCAGAGGTGGCTTGGGTTTGATGCACTGTGGCCCAGGCTTGCCAGTAACAGACAGGCCGACCCAAACCAGTAGAAGCAAAAAGGCAATGCACTCAGCAGGGGCCTCTGAGTCACTTTCTCTTCATTGGGGCCCTGCCTCTGCAGCATCAGCTCCTTCCTCAGGAGCTTCCTGGTGACCACCTGGTGGCAGTGGCATCGCTCTGGGGTTTGCATCCTCTACTGTTCAGCGCTGATGGCCCAGAGTGTCCGTCCTGCTCCTCCAGCCTCATTGGCTCTATTGGGTCACATGCCCACCTGTGGGCACAATCGGTGCTGAAGGGAAACTGGGGTTCTGATTCCCCAGGTCAGAGTCAGTGCCCTGCCTTGCTTCCCAGCAGGTGGTCACCCCCCCCCCCCGCCCCACTCTTGGGAGTGCAAGGTGGGGATATGGCTGGCTCCCCCTGAAAGTAAGGAACTGCCACCCCTGGGACTGCACAAAGTTCCCTTTTTCTTTTTTTTCCCACCTTCCTTTGTATTACAGCCCCCCCCCCCATGTGTGTAATATCTAAACTTTAGTATCTTTCAGTATGTGGTATCTTTTCTCTGTGTGCTTTCCTGAAAAGCGTTCCTCATTTCTTTTGAGAGTGTGTGTGTGTGTATATGTGTGTTTGGTAAAGATAGAGAGTATTTACCAAGTTTCTGTGAAACTAAGGGCATTGGCTTTTTAACCAGACCAGACTTGAATTTGATTCCTATTCTTACCTCTTAAAGGCTATGTGACCTTGTGAAGGTCACTTGACCTCTCTGAGCTTTCATTGCTTTCATCTTAGAAATGGGATGATACATACTTTGTTTTAAGGATTAGAGAGGGGTGCCTGGGGGTACCTGAGTGGCTCAGTCGGTTAGACATCAGGCTTCCACTCCGGTGGTGATCCTGAGGTCCTGGGATCGAGGCCCACGTTGAGCTCCTTGCTCAGCTGGGAGCCTGCTTCTCCCTCTGCCTGCTACTCCCCCTGCTTGTGCATGCTCTCTCTCTCTCTCTCTCTCTCTCTCTCTCTCCTTCACAAATAAATAAATAAAATATTAAAAAAAAGAGAGAGGTCCCTGGGTGGCTCAGTCAGTTAAGTATCTTCCCTCACCTCAGGTCATGATCCCAGGGTTCTGGGATGGAGCCCCACATTGAGCTCGTTACTCAGAAGGGACTATGCTATGCTTGTCCTTCTCCTTCTGTCTCTTTCCACACTTGTGCGCACATGCTTGCTCTCTCAAAAAAATAGAATAAAACAAAATCTTAGGGATGCCTGGGTGTCTCAGCAGTTGGGCGTGTCTGCTTTCAGCTCAGGGCATGATCCTGGAGTCCCAGGATTGAGTCCCACATCAGGCTCCCCACATGGATCCTGCTTTTCCCTCTGCCTGTGTCTCTACCTCTCTCTTTCTGTGTCTCTCATGAATAAATAAAATCTTTAAAAAAATCTTAAAAAAATGTTTTAAGGATTAGAGCCTGCATCAGACTCTCCTGAAGGGCTTGTGAAAATACATGTTACCAGATCCTCTCCCAGCATTTCTAATTCAGTAGGTCTGGGGTGGAGCCCAAGAATTTGCGTTTTTTACAAATTCCCAGATGATGTCAGGGAACTCCTCTTTGAGAACCACTGGCTTAGAGATTGAAGCCTCTCTATGCACAGCCTCTTACACAGAGCCTAGCATGTTGTGGATGCCCAAATGCAGCTCTTGTTAGAGTGAGCAGTATTAGTATTTGTAATGACTTTGTGGCAGAAGACATTCCATGATTCATCACACAACTGTGTTGTCCTCTGGGAAATGACAGATTCCTGTATGGAGTGACACATCTTTCTGAGAAGTTCCTTGTCATTCTGGTGGGCAAGTGACTGGGTCATCTGTCTTGTCTGGGTTTAACTTTCTTTTCTTTTTCCTCTGCAGTACTCTGGGTTCCAGCAGTCTGCTGACAGATGTTTTCTTTGTGGACATCTGATCATGGACATGGTGAGTAGGGTCAGCCAAACAAGATGATGGCATGGTAGGAGGGGGAGGCATTGATAGAAAAAAGGAACTAACAGTGGAAAACTGTATTTCCTACCTTGATTTGTGGTTGCATCTGGTTTTATTAAGAAAAGACCTGTGCAAGGCAGCTGCTTGCTCTAGGAGAAGCCACATTGTTGGCTTTTACTGATATAGCATGCTTAACCATGTAGTCCACACAGTGTTGTGTCTCTCTCTCTCTTTTTTTTTTTTTAAGAATTTATTTTATTTACTCATGAGAGACAGAGAGAGAGAGAGGTAGAGACACAGGCAGAGGGAGAAGCAGGCTCCATGCAGGAAACCCGAAGCAGGACTAGATCCTGGGTATCCAGGATCACGCCCTGGACTGAAGGTGGCACCAAAACGCTGAGCCACCCGGGCTGCCCTATGTTGTGTTTCTTTCTTTTTTTTCTTTTTTCATTTGTTCCATTTTATTTTATTTTATTTTTTATTTTATTTTATTTTATTTTTATTATTTTTTTATTGGAGTTCAATTTGCCAACATATAGCATACAGTGTTGTGTTTCTGATGATGCTCTTTTCTCTGGGCTTTTTGGATCATACTGGCCTCCCTCTGATTTCCTGTGGTCCTTGTGATGTCCTAGGTGAGATGCCAAATGCCAAACTTCATCTGCCTTGGAGTTGGGTACAGAAAGCTGGATAAACACAGTTGCTTGCCCCATGTTCTTCCTGGCTCTTTCTGTTCCTGAGATGAGTTTTGGGGGCCTGTTGTTAGTTCTGAGAGAGCAGAACAAGAAGCAAGTTTTATACATTCTGTTCCTCACTCAGCCACTTTCACTCACTGGCTCTCTGAGCTTGTCTTGGGCCTCAGTATCTTTATCTCTTCACTGGGGACAGTTTTTCTTTCCTGGCCTCCTTATAGGGTAAGGTTGTGAGGTTAACAAATACAGAATACTTAGTGTATCTCAGGGATCAAACTGTTCACCATTGGATATCAGGCTTTTAGAATTTCTTTAATATACTGATCAAGGAAAAGTATCATACAACATTCCTTTAGTTGGAAAGCGGTAAATCCCCTCTAAGCTGACACATTAACTATTCTGGAGAAGGGAATTGCTAATCATTGGTATTTTTTTCTTTTACCTTTTTATTGAGAAACAACTAGAGTAAAGAAAGGGTGTGTGTACATCTTAAGTGCACAGGTGAATGAAGTTTTGCATATGCACATACCTATGGAACCACACCTGGTCAAAGTGTGGATGTTTCCCACATCCCACACCTCAGAAACTTCCTTCTTGTCTTCCTTCCAGTCCAGAACCCCTCCTCCAAAGGTGCCCTCTGTTCTGAGCTCTATTGGTCTGCCTTTTCTCACTTAAACAAACAATAGCAAAAACCATTTTGGGGGGATGGGGCAGGGCCAGTGGGAGGAGGAGAGAGAGAACTTAAGCAGGCTCCATGCCCAGTGTGGAGCCCAGAGCGGGGCTCGATCCCACGACCCTGAGATCATGACCTGAGCAGAAATCAAGAGTCGGACGCTTAATCAACTGAGCCACCCAGGCGTCCCTAGAAAATGTTTTTAGGTTCATCCATGTTGTATCCTGTGGTAGTAGTTCATTTATTTTCATTGCTAAGTAGAATTCCATTGTATGGATACAGCAGTTTGCAAATCTGTTGTTCTGCCAGTGGGGATTTGGGTGGCTTCCAGTTTGAGGCTATTTATGAATAAAGCTGTTGTGAATATCTTTGGCATGTTGCTGGACAGAAACACTCATTTTTGTTGGTTTCGTGCTAATATGTATAAAACAGCAGTGAACCGGAGCCTGCCCTGTTCACGAGGACAACTTGCTGTTGTCCAGTCTTGAACATACCACGGCAGAGCTTAGCCCTGTGAGGGCTGAGTCCTCATTAGTAGCCAAGCCTCCCTGGAAGCATGGCCATCCACCCATTCCCCCAGAGGAGGCAGGGAGCCACACACCCTTATTCCTACCTTCCACAAATGCCAGCCAGACTCCACAGGGATCTGTTTCTTTGGTGGAATTTGTCCTCAATTTTAGAGTCCTTCTGGCAAACCCACCACATTTGAAGTCAACAGTATCCAAATCTATGAAGGTGATTATACCCTATTTTTATTTCTGGGTGTCATCAGGCTTCTTTGGGCCTCAGGGTATTTCAGTTACCTGTTGCTACATGATGAACCACCCCAAGAGGTCATAGTTTAACACAGCTCGTTTATCACGATCCACAGAACTCCAATAGGGCTCAGCGGGATGATTGTTCTGCTCCGTGTGGCATTGGCTAGGGTCACTTATTCAATGGTGTTCAGCTGATGTCCCATTTAAGCACCCCGAGATGGGCTCTGCCCTCCAGGCCTCTCTCCCTGTGGCCACTGATCTCATCCAGTCATCTAGGTTGGACTTCTAACAGCAAATGAGGAAGGAGAGCTGCCAGGCTTCTTAAGTCCTTGACTCGAAATCTCTCAACATCATTTCTTCCCCATTCTGTTGATCACAAACATCACAAGGCCAGTCTCAATACGCGGCAGGGCAGTAAGGAGGGGCTCTCCTCCACTTCTTGAAGTGAGGACCAGCCTTGCATGCAGGAAGGGAAGGAATGAAGCTTTGGAGGCCACCTCTTCCACACAAGGATAGTGCAAAGTTGAACCTGGGTCCTGGCAAGTCTTCTCTAGGACTTGAGAACTTTTAGCAAATGTCTGTCCGGTAGTGACACCTACTTTTAAAAAAAGAACCCTTAACTGCTGCCAAGAATTTTTGTAACGCAAGAAAAAGCATGCCTGCAGATGCCATTCTTGGTCCTCCAAGAGAAACAACCAGTTGTCCAATTCCTTATGTAAATTGTGCCCCCCTCCGCCTCCCCAGTTAGTAGAGGAGAATACTCTGAGCTTGCATGTTGAAAGTGGACATTTCCCCCCACATTAAAAAGAATCATCACAGCAAGTCAAAATGCAGCAAAATGGCATCTGTGTCCTGCCATGCTTCAGGCTCGTTGTGGGTGAAGTTAATTTAAAGGTCTCTTCTGCCAAGATGGCATTAGCCAGAGAGCGAAATGCATTCCAAGGTACAGATTGCCAGGTGGACTTTGGAAGCCTGGCCAGTTGTTCTTCCTATTTTGGCAGCTTATTGCAGATGGAGAGGGGCCTCAGGGGTTAGTGACACACCAGAGGGAATGAGGAAGCTGGGAGAGCACTCGAAGTTGCCAGCTTGCCTCGGAGGCTACACCGTGTGAAGTGTGGCGTTGGCCTTGGCGGGGGAGAAGCAAGCCTCGATCTCTGGAAGGTGCGCACCCTTCCTGCAAGTGTCACGTGCATCAACACAAACTCAAACCAGTGGTTTTTCCATTTTAGCTTGCATTGGAATCATTTTATGAAAACACCAACTGCTGGGCCTGACCCTAGCTCTTCCGATTCTGGAGATCGGGGCCTGAGGATGTACATTTATAACAAGTTCCCAGGTGATGCTCATGCTGCAGGTCCAGGGACCACACTTTGGGATGAGCTGCCTTAAAAGGAAAACTGTTTGATGTCACCTAGCAAGGGGGCAGGAGGGACACAGTTCTGAAGGGAGGTGATTTGGCCACTCGCTGACATCCCCAAGGACATTCTTTGCATCTCTTTTCCCTCCTACCCTCCCTGTCTTAGCTCTGTCCCGGCTTCTTACCTTTCCAGGCATCATAACCTGATCAAATGACATTCAGAGGAAGGTTTGTGGGACTTTCTCTACACTGTATTTTAAAAAATCAGCAGCAGGGCACCTGTGTGGCTCAGTTGGTTAAGCGTCGACTCCTGATTTCTGCTCAGGTTGTGATCTCGGGGTTCTGGGATCCAGCCCTGTGTCAGGCTCCACGCTAGGCAGGGAGTCTGCTTGGGGATTTTCTCCCTGTGCCCTTCCCCCTGTGCACACACATGTTCTCTCTCTCTCTCTAGTAAATAAATAAATCTAAAAAAAAAAAAAACAAAAAACAGAACACCAACAAAGAGGCTTTGCTTAGGCTTGGCTTTGAGATAGTGAGTGGTTGAGTCACAGCTTCTGGATTATCACGCTGCAGAGTGAAAGCTGCTTTGGAGGGGCTCTTGGGAGGCAGAAGTTAAGAGGTTTTCTGAGCTCTGCCATTTCCATGTGGAATTAACTTTAATCCTTCATGGATGGGCTGCTTCCTAAATCTGGGACGGAGCCTTGTGTGGCCCTGCCTGCTTCGCATCATTTCTGGCAAAGAACTGCAAAAGAACCTTCTGTATTCTCCTTTGGAGGGTTATGTAGAGGAGAAGGATCCTGTTTGGCTCCCTCCTGTTGTACATTCACCCAGATTTGCCTTTCCTTCCCTGTGATCTCTTGATGCTGGTCCAAGTGCAACTCAGACGAGTATGCATCATGTGGTGTGATCACACCTAGGGTCCCTCGGCCTGACATGTTCCTCTCCTTCCCACCGTCCAGCCCGTCCCTGTGGTCCCCGCTGAGTCCCGGCTTCTTCTTTTCTGCCCCAGATCCTACAGGCCCTTGGGAAGTCCTACCACCCCGGCTGCTTTCGCTGTGTCATCTGCAACGAGTGTTTGGACGGGGTGCCCTTCACCGTGGACTCTGAGAACAAGATCTACTGTGTCCGAGATTACCACAAGTAAGGAGGGATGGGGCGCAGAAGGGCTGCAGGTGCGAGCCACGTTGATCTCACTGTGTGAAGGGTGGACACCTGCTGAGGGGCATCCTTGGGCTGCTTGTACCCTTAGGCCACAGTCCAGCAAAGGCTTAGTGGTTTTAAGGGTGTAGCAGGGGTTGGGATGTGTGGGTGACTCAGTGGTTGAGCAACTGCCTTTGGCTCAGGTCATGGTCCTGGGGTCCTGGAATTAAGTCCCACATCAGGCTTCCCACGGGGAGCCTGCTTCTTCCTCTGCCTATGTCTCTGCCTCTCTTTCTGTGTCTCTCATGAATAAATAAATAAAATCTTTGAAAAGGGAGGGGTGTAGCAGGGGCCACGGGAGGTCCACTGATGCCAGTGCAGACAGGAACTGGTTATAGGATCATGTTTACTGAAAAATCAGAACCCAAATCCCTAGACTCAGATTCCTGGTGAGGCCTCAAGAGGCATCTGTCAAGCTGGTGTCTCCAGCTTTACTCAGCCTCACATGGCAGCGACTCAGTGCTGAGTGCCACCACCTTGGCGTGCCTGGGCCTGTCCATGCTGGGCACCATAAGGGAAAGAAACAAGGTAATCTTTATGCCTAGTAGAGTAAGAGGGTCCAGGTAGGCTTGGTGCTACTAAACACCTCCCAGGGAATGAGCCAGGCTATCTTGATACAAGGGCTGGGGGTGGGCGGTTCAGGTGAAGAGTGATGGGCAGGAGACCAGCCGTGAGGAAGGCTCCGTATCGGCTTCAGGACTTGCCTCCCAGGAACAAGACAATACACATTCTACTGCCTCTTCTCCCGGCAGGGTGCTGGCTCCCAAGTGTGCAGCTTGCGGGCTTCCCATCCTTCCACCTGAGGTAAGATACTTTTTCAGACCTGTTCTTGGTGTCTTCTATGACATGAATATCTCCCCAGGATCATCGACAAGATCTGTGTCCCGTCCTTACACCTTTGAAAACAATCCTTCTAAAATGCCCCCTCTGACATTAATAGTGTCCTCACCAAGAAGCCCCTCTCTCATTGGCTGGTCTCCCCAGCCCAGTGCCCCTCGTGTGCCCTATTTGCCTTTCATTCATTATTTTTTAGAAAAATCACTCTCCACATAGGTGGTTTCTTCAGTGTTGACCCTGACATTCCAGAAAGTAGGACGGCTGTCCCTCCTATTTCCTCTCTTCTCAGTTAAAGATGTCCTCTCTCCAGTGGGGGACCTCACTATGGATTTATGCTCTCCTGAGGCCACCCACTTGCTACCTCAGAATCCCCTACCACAGCATGCGGAACCTAGTGGGTCCCCCAGCTGGGCTCTCGTTCTTACTTTTGCTCCATCCAGGGCTCAGATGAGACCATCCGTGTCGTGTCCATGGACAGAGACTACCACGTGGAGTGCTACCATTGCGAGGTAGGCCCCTCCCTGCCCAGATGCCTTAAGCCTGTTTAAAAAGTGCCAGAGAAGAGGATCCCAGGTTGACTGGGGCCTGAGATGGTCAGGACGGTGTGGTCAAGGGCTGCCCTCCAGGTCCAGGGGTGAAGCCTGACTTGTGGGGAAGGTTGGAGGACATGCAGATGTTTGGGACCTAAAGGTCATTACTGTTTTCTCTACGTCTGTGAACTACCAAGTCCTGAAACCATGGCAGTTGTCTTCATGAAGCTGCAGATGGGAGGTTCTTGGGGACTGTGGGTTTCACATGCTCCATTGTCAGGCAGCTTTGTGATTTGGGGAGCAGACGCCCTCCCGTCCAGTTTATAGGCCATTCTATCCACCAAGAGCCCCTTCCTGAGCTGAGCCCTGGAAATCATCAGAAACCAGCCCCTCCTCGGAAATAAGCACGCCGCTGGTTGGTGTGAAGGTGGGTGGGGGCCCATCTACCCCCTCTCTTACCTTGTATCACACCCGGGCTGAAGGAGCCCCAGGGGCCCTGTGACTCTCAGGCAGGGCCCCTCACCGGCCCACATGAAGGGTGCACACACTTTAAGTGCCCATGGAGTTTCAGCCAGAATCAGGTGGATTCACCCATGGAGGGAGAGTAGATTTCTTCTTTTGTGACACGGTGGGTGGGAGAGGGCATGGGGGTCAGGGTGGGAGGCTGGAGCTCACTGCCAGCATGGAAGATCTAAGTGGGAGCCCTTGCCAGTGGCACCCCAGGCACCGGAGAGAAAGGGGATGGGGCCATTTGCTCAGGATAGTCCTCTCTATGCATTCAGTGTGGTGCTGTCCCATAGAAACCTGAGAGCCACAGGTTCAAGTCACAGGTGTCATTTTGTTTTCTAGTAGCCACATTAGAAAAAGGAAATGGATGGGATTCATTCTTCTACTATTTTATTCAACTGGTATGTCCAAAGTGTGGTATCCATATGCAGTCGGTATGAGGCATTTCTCACGAGGCCTCTTACATTCCTTTTTTGCCCTAAGTCTTGGCAGTGCCATGTGTGTATACGCTGAGGTCCCATCTCCCTTCCGACCAGCCCTGTCTCAAGTGCTCCATAGGGACAAGTCACCCCTTCACTTGGCAGGACTGCCCCCTTCTGCACTGGCATTTGCTGCCCCCAGAGAATCACGCAGCACCCTCTGCTGGTCCCCAGGACGTCGGCCTCTGGGTCAGTCTTGCAATCCCTTGTGTTCTGGTCTGTTTGCCTCCTCCCCAGGACTGCGGTCTGGAGCTCAATGACGAAGATGGTCACCGCTGCTACCCCCTGGAAGACCACCTGTTCTGTCACTCCTGCCATGTCAAGAGACTGGAGAAAAGCCCCTCATCTGCAGCTCTTCACCAGCACCGCTTCTAGCCGGAGCCTCTTGCACACCTCACGCGGCAGAAGAGAAGCCAGGGCAGCAAAGCAAGACATCTGCCTGTTGGCTCCTGTGGCCCCTGGGGTGGAGGTGGGGCGGGGGGGGTGGGTTTCTGCATACACCTGGGGTGCCTTTCCTTTCACCAGGGAGGTGAGCCCTACCTGTCTGGTATGTGTATTTGCCAAGTGCCTTCCTCCACCGCCACGCCTTCATCACATTACTCAGGAAGACGCTCCAGCAGTGTGTGGCAGGTGACAGGGCATTGCAGCAGTGCAACCGCACGCACCCTGCAGCCCCTCTGGGAATAGTCCAGGCTTCAGGGGGGAAGGTTTGCACTGAGCATGTTTCACAATATCCTCTGCAGAGAGATCTCAGCTGCCAGTACAGTCAGCCCTTTCCTCTCCCTTGGGAAAATACCTGCACCCAAACACTACCCCACCCCGTACACGTCCATGACATGATTTAACACTGCACCCAGACACACACCACACACACACATGCACACACGCACACACACACAGAGCATTATTTAAGACTTCCACCCCAGAGACTCCTTTCGTCTGTAGAATAGCTGCAAATTTTCATTGCGTTATGACAAGAGGGAAGCTCTGACATGTGCTCTGCATCTTAGGAAGAATTTAGTGGGTAAACCAGAGCCAGGTTTTGGAATACATGAGCCAGACGGGGTTTTGTTGTGATGTACACTGACAGTGTTTTGGGTGCCCCTGCAAATCCTCCCTTCCTTAAAGGCAGCTGGGAGCCCGAAGGAGATTTGCTGTGTTCTAGCCAAGTGTGCTTTGGGACGAGGTGTTGGTGCAGGCACCAGGCCTCCTTTGCCCACCGGTTTGCACTGTTTCCCTCTGGAGCTCTCGAGAGTCTGTGACTTCAGAGTTGCTCCCACAAAGGCAGGTCTCAGGATCCCACATGGTGGGGGACCTCTCCATGCCTGTTTCAGCTTCTTTATCAGTGGGCTTTGGGCCATCCTGCCCACATGCTGAGAGCTAGCCCCTTACACATGGGGAATGTGTGTGTGTGTGTGTGTGTGTGTGTGCGCGCGCGCATGCGTGCATGTGTGTGCGAGATCTCTAAGCAGCATAGGAGTGGGTGCCTCAGGACAGATCAGTGTGTTCATCCCCCACGTCTCTCCCTCACCCAGTTCTTGGCACAGGCGTGACGTGTGAAGAAAGCGGTATAAGGTACACTGCTCTTGTCTGTTGTTTCTTCTTTTTTAACTTTTTGCCTCCACTTTTGGTCTTCCACACACACAAAATACCTCACGGATATGAGCTACGCAGATTAGAAGGCATTTGGCCATCACACTGAACTCACATGCTGGTGTGTGACGAGCCTCTGCCTCCACGTGGGCCAGACTCCAGTGGCTCAGGTCCCTGTAACCCGAACGTAAGGTCAGCTGTCTGCAGATCAGATCAAACATGGGCATTATTGCCCTGCTGCATTTCATCATGCTGGTTCCCCAGGGTCGCTGGCGAGGGCAAAGGGAGGGCCACATGCTGGCAAGATATCAAGGCCACCTGCGTACTCAGGAAGCATAGCTTGCCCTGTGTGTCACCCTCCTGAGGCCAGACGTCCGAATTCCTGGTATTTCAGTGAAAAGATGGTGTAAAGAAAATAAAAAAGAAGGTTGGCTGACATTTGCCCACTTGCCCACTGGCCTACGTCTTGTCACAGGAGGCAGGGGCCAGCTCATGGCTGCTAGCCGGGTCCGGGGGCATCATGTTGGCATCCGCTCCCCGCCTCCTCACCTCACACCCAGGGCAGCAGGGGCCATGGAAGGCGATCCGCAGAGCCCAAGGCACTTGGGACTAGCAGCCTTTTCGGTGGGGCCCGGCTCCAGCTCGAGGCCCTGTTTTGCTTCATCTGGTAGCCACTGCTATAAGAAGCACAGAATTGGCACCATGAGTTGTCTCCTGTTTTTCTTAAGTTCGTTCTGTTAGATGGCCAGATGTCACTTCGGTCCATCGATTCCATTGCACAGGTTGAGCCTCCAGGAGCCTGTGGATGATGCATGGGGCTGGGGAAGTGAACCCTGGGGCTGAACCCCCCCTCTTCCCATAGAGTTGTCAGCTCGGCTCTGGCAAGACTGGTGGGCGTGTGAAGCCAGCCAATACATCTTGTCTTGGCCAACCTAGGAACATTCCTGGCCTTGCTGACCCCTTGACTCCACTTGCAAGTCCAGCAAAAGTGAAGAAAATTGCCTGAGAGCAACCGTCAGAAGCAGGGACTTATTTGCAAATTGGGTAGCTAATTAGTTAGAAAAATCTGTGATTAATTTTTGAAATGAAATGTTTTAAGTGGCTTTGATGGAGGTGATTTGGATATCTGCCGATACGGTGTTGGGGAAAGAACCATAGGAGAGTTTCTAGAAGCCCTAGAAATCGGAGCGGCGAGTGCGTGTTGTTTCAGCATCCTGGAGAGAGCACGGGTAGGCATCTCACGCGAGTTTTGCTTCTCAGGCTCTTGCGCTAAAAGCCCTGAGGAGACGTTCACCTGCGTGGCATCTTAAACATTCTGTAAGCTGTTAGCCAAACAGAATTATAATGGGGTTGTATTTATAGGCACCTAGAAAGAAAACACAAGCACCGGGTACACCCAGGTGGGTATGTCTGTTTTTAAAAGTAGAGCGGATAGCCCTTCCTGAGTTCCCTAGATAGCTCTTGGCCTTTAGATAAACAAGAATTTCGGTCCGATCGCAGACCCCAAAGCCAGCCCCCAGCCCTCTCCCCCACCCCGTTTTGCCATTCGTTTTTTCCTTCCCCCAGCGAAGGCCGTGCAACAGCTGCCAGGGTCTGGGAAAGCCAGTAGCCTGGTTTGGCCGGCTCTTCTCTCTAATGTTACTGTCCTACCCGGCGCTGGGCAAAGAGTGGTGTGTTCATCTCTCACCGTGGAAGGGCGTTGGGCCCTGTCTGCGTCACCGCCCGTACATGGCAGCGGGACTTCGTTCCTCTGTGGTCAGTGCCCGAGACAGAACCTCTTTGGGCCGGGGCCACGGAGGTGCTGCCGCCAACCACGTGTGCGGGACTTGACTCCAGACCGGCCGTGTTGGCTGGACACCCCCACTTGTTCCACCTCTGTCTGCCAGGAAACCCGAGTTCTTTATAGTGTCCTCTGTGCCAGGAATCCATTCTCATTTCCAGGTTATTTGAAATGAGTCTTAAAAAGCAATAGAAGAAAGTGAGTAAAACACGTTAGCTGTCGTTCCGAGCCGGAACTAGACAGACGTAGGAAATTCCCGTATGACGTATGAAAATTTCACCGTGCAGGGAAATTACTTCCCTCTGAGATCTCCTCTTTTCCTATAAAAATTATTCAAAATTGTACTGTTACTGTCAAATTACTCAAAATATTGTTACTATGAAATTATTCAAAATTGTACCATTACTATCAAATTATTCGACATATCATGCCAATAAACTGCATCAATTTGTAGACGATTAAAGTGTTCTCCGACACAATGATGCTCACTGGGTTTTCTTTGGGGTGTGTGGAAGTAAGCAGACAGTGCTTTTTGCTAACTGGATTTGGCCGCCTTTTAGAGTTATGGATCCTTAAGGGAACACATGGGCATCAAAACTACAAAAGGTCCAAGATTTTAGCCCCCTTGCCCAGCTAATAGGGTAACATGCTGTGGGTTCATGGATCGTGGTGGAAGTTATGAGACTCTTAGGCCAGAGACAGAGGAAAGGTAAATGTAGCACCAGCCATGAGTGACTGAATCCCTGAGCCTTCATCCCACGAGGGCTCCCAAGAAGAGGGCCAGGCGGTGGCCCGCATGCAGCTGGGCTGCATGGGCTGCATTACAAGACACCTGAGTTTAGGGAACCTCAGTTTTACACTGACCGGTAAGCCTGCCTGAGTGTTGCTCCAGAGAGAGACACTGTGTCTGCCTGTGTCTGCCACCCAACACCCTTCACTACAGCCAGCATCCCAGAAGAGAGTCTGGAACTGAGGCAGTCTAGCTCACACGATGTGCAAGAATGTGAACGACCCTTGGAGAATCCTCTTCCAAGAATCAGCAGTTTCTTCACCTGGGTCCTAAATATTGAGACACAGGGTCATGGTGCTGTAGTGGTGATCGCTTTGTCTCCTTTTGTGTATGTTGTTTTTTTTTTTTTAGTGAGGCTCCGATCAAAGAATCCCAGAGGTGAGTGGCCCTCTGGGTTTGAGGCCAGCACGCACAGGAAGGCAGGCCTTGCAGAGGGAGGCGCTGAGTGTGTGCTTGGAATTCCTGGGGGCAAGGGTGCCGTGGTCCAGGGACTTGCCTTCCACTGCTCAGTACGTGAGCTGGTTCAGGCTTCGGGTTAGCTCTTGTGGCTGCCAGGTCTGATGTACTAGGGACACGGGAAAGCTGAGAGCCAGGGTATTGACAGGAGTGGTGTCTTACTGGAAAATAAAACCTCTTTTTACATGATGAGAGCACGTATACTGATTTTACAAATGTGGGCTGCCGTTTGCCTGTGACCCTGATGCTATAAGCAAAAAGGGGGAAAGGTGGCCTGGACCCAGGTGTGCTGGTACCCCAGCTTTAGGGTGGGAGGTGGGGGTTAGGCCCTGATTTGTGCTGTGCTGTTGGCTGTTTTTTGTTTTTGTTTTGTTTTTTTTGGCTGGTTTCTATGGTGTAAATCTTGCCATCACGGCCAGTTTCAGGCTATCCATGTGAGATCCTTGGCCCTGGAGCTGGGAGGAGATGGCACAGTCAGCAGTGGATGCTAGCCGGCACAGGCCTTTGGGCCATTTGGGGCTGAAGCAGTGTGGAAATCTGGCTTGGTTTTAGGTTCCATGATTAAAGCAGTAACAACAGTGACAGCTGACATTTATTGTGTGCTCACCGTGTACTAGGTACTATTCTAAGGATCATATTCTTAATAATCTTTTATTTTCTGGACCACTGAGTCACAGAAGGGTGAAGTAACTCTCTGAATATTCAGTACCCAGTAAACCAAGCCGCGATCCCATCCCAGGCACTCACCCAGAGGGAGTGGTTCCACCACTCTGGCTGCTGGGGGCAATAGTGTCCTTCAGTGGACTCCTTCATGAGAGCCACCTAGCTTGAAACACTCATTGTGAGGGGGAAGA